TGAAGCCAGAGAGTTTAAATAGATAGCTTCCTAGTTAGGCTATATGTATGACAGCTAGTGTAAAACCCTTAGCATAGTACTAACGCTTCGGGCGGACTATTTAAATAGGCAACCAAAAGTTGTACATGTAACTAGTTGTACTTTCATTATACTGATGTAATATGTAAGCCAGTCTTCGGACGGCTTACCCGTTTGAACTAATAAAGTGCCAGGGGCCTAAGTGGTTACCTCAATATTAAAAAAAAAAAAAATTTTATTTCGAATTAATTTGAAATATCTTGAAATATTTTGAATAGTATTTGGTAAATTCAAATTGATTAGCTTTTCTTACTTATTAGTAGCTATCCTTTAGTTTATAAATATTTTGCTTTTTTGATGCATTTATGTCTATTCGATTTGTTTCAAACTAATTCGAAATATTGCGCAATATATAGCATAATATTGCGCTATAAGTTTTGTAATTTTGCATAATATATTTCGTAATATTACATTATATATTGTACAATATTTCACAATTTATTGTGCAATATTATGCCCAGACCATAATTATTGTGCAATATTTCAGGCCATAATAACTTATATAAGATTACATTAATATATTTTGCTGATGTATATGTGTTAATTCTTGGTTCAGATATGGTATTAAATTTTATAAAGAATAAATTTAAATTGTATATGTATGGTGCAAGAAATTTAAAAACTTCAATATCTCAATATAAATATAATGTATAAACTTTTGTGCCTACTAGTGGTATACTGAAAATAAATTTCCTAAATTATTAATCTTAACAAGCGAAGGGTCTAGAACTCTCAATCTCTTCATATAAAGAACAATAAGCAAAGAACAATATATATGTAATAGCATGCTAATTTAGTTTATCTTTAAAAAGTTAGTTAACCTTTTTTTATATAAAGTGGTTGAGGTTTTTAGATTTGCTACACCATATGTACAAATTTGTTAAATATTAAATTTAAACTAAATTAAAAGCTTATTTCTATTAATATTGAGTTTTCGGTCTTGCTATAAACCAAAGTAAATTGTAATCATTAATGAGCTATTTGTTTTTAGTATGAAAATTAAAAAAAGTTAATTTAATTTTTTATTAGATTTTATACTCCAAAGTATATTTATATATATTGTAAAACAATCTATATTACCTTTAATGGCTTGGCTTAGCTTAAGGCTAGTTGGCTTACTAATAGCTCGGCTCTGGCTTGTAGAGCCGAAAGATTGGCTCGGCTTGGTCAAGTCAGCTCTAAGCCGAGCCAAGCCAAGCTATTTGCATCACTACTACTGGTTATAGTTAGATTAATTCTAAAATTAAATACTACTATAATATAATCATTATATTCAAATATTATCAAAAAAATTCTATTTAAATATTTTAAATTTTAAAAAAAGTAAATCATAAGCAAATTTATAGCAATTTTCTAGACAAATTTGTCTGGAATTGTCTACAGTTTAAGGGATAGTCTTATAGTGGTATTATATAGTTTATGCTATTTGTTACCAAATAGCAATCCCATAATGTATTAAAAATGTAATAGGATCTGCAAAATCTCAAAATTCGAAGAATTAGTGTCAGCCTGGTATTAACCCTGGCAAAAAAAGTACTCTAAAATAATATAAATAAAATCTGAAACAATTAGTATCAGCCTGGTATTTTACCCAGTTTTTACTTATTAGAAAAATAATTTTCACTTTTTAATTATAAAAGCTGCCACTAATTGGGATAATTTAATGAGTTTCAAAAAGTAATAGTAAAATCAGAAATTTTCAATTAGTGTCAGCCTGGTTATTTCGGATTTTAATTAGTGTTAGCCCAGGTATTTTAATAAAAAAATCCAATACAAACTGTACAAGAAGTTGGTTGTATAATCAATTGTTTTTCAAGAATAAAATTAATACAATTTTCTTCATTGAAAAAAATATTATTTAAAGTATTTAAAGATATTTTTAAAGAAAGTAGTATAGAAAACAGAGTCTTTAAATAGTTTAAAAGTTTCTTTATTAAATATTATTAATTATTTTTAAATTTTATTTTTAATTTCTTTTCTTTTTTATCGCTTAAAAGAATAATTTCATAAAAGCCACATTTTTTACAAAAATAAACCCAATTATTATCTTTTTTTATAACAATAAGTCTTGAAAATATTTCACTACAGTGATATTTTCTTGTAAAGCTAATTTTGTTATTTGAATAAAACCAAAAATAATTAAAACAATGTGAATGTATTAAAAAATTTGCAATCAAATATTCATAAGAATTAATCAAACAACTGTTTAAAATAATAAGTTTCCAAAAAACTAATGATTTAGTTTGTTGTAAAGTAAAAAAAATGAAAAATATTAATAAAATTATGAGTATCCATATGTAATTCTATAAATTTTAATAATAAAATATAATTATCGTGTATAATTTTTATATCGAACTATTTTTCAAATATAGAGATAAAATATTTTTCAAAATTAATTTTGAAAGAACGATTTAACAAACATAAATTATTAAAAATTTCTTTAGAATCATTTTTTTTAAGATATAATAGTAAATCTTTTAAAACTTCATCAAGTCCAATATCGCATAAACATTTAATAATTATAAGTATAGCTTCAGTAGGAATAAATTATTTTTTTTTATAATTAATTCGTCATTATTTTTTATTGTTTTAATTTTTTTAAATTTTCTTAGAGATATTTTAATAAGTTTTATTTAGTATTTGATAGGTAATCTTTTTTATATTTTCAAAATTTTAAAATATTATTAATAATTAAAAATAATTAAATTTATAAATATTAATATATTTATTAATGATTTTTTTAATTATTAAATATAAAAACAAATATTTTGTTTTTTTAAACATTATATTAATCATGTTACCAAAATTTTCTTGCAAGATCTGTAATTCCCCCAATCATAAAACTATTTTTTGTCATGCGACAATTTGTAATACATGTAAAAAATCTGGTCATATCAGTGCTTATTGTCCAGATTTACCATGTGATATATATAAAGAAATTGGTTACACTCAACAAACGTGTATTTTTAAATTTAATAATGAACATAAATCATTATTTAATAATAATAATTATAAAATTGCATATGAAGTTTATAAAAATGAAAATTTTCTTTTAATGTGGGATACTGTTAAATATTTATCATTTATTAAAGTGAATTCTATTAATTCTATTAAATTTAATTTGAGTGCAATTTTAAGAGTAATTTATAAATTAAGAAAAAATTATTATTTTGATGATTCTTTTAAAAAAATATTAAAAGAAACAGATGGTGATTTTCTTTATTTTTCTGGCGATTCTAATAATAAAAAATTTCCTGCTTATCAAGATGTTTATACAGGATTAAAAATTGAATTATTTAATACTTGTGAAAATTGTTTTACTATTATTAATAGACCAAAAGAATTTTGTAATACTTGTGAAAATTTAATTATTATGAAAAAAATTGAAATTGATATTAAAAAAATATATTTGGAAGTAACTAATAATAATTTAGTTAAAATTATTAAGCAATTAAAATTTAAATAATTAAATTATAAAGCATTTATTTTGTATTTTGATATAATTATTAATAAAGTTTTAATAATATTTATATATTTAATTATTAATAAAAATATTTATTTTTATTTATATATTTTGTGTAATATTTTAATTTTTATTCTTAGAATTATTCTTTTTATAGAATGGCTTAATTTGTGTAATTTGTATTTCATATTTTATTATTTAAACAATCATAATTTGATTTGATTTTTTTTTTGAATTTGATATTCACAATTGATATTTTATAATTTTTTAAAATGAAAACTATTATTAGAGATCTTTTTCTTTTTAAAAAAGAAAATAATCATATTAAATATATTCAAAAAAGTTGTTCTTTTGAACAAATCTTTAATAATAAATTTGATAATAGTTTGATATCACATTATCGTTCTCATCATTCTAATTTTTTTAAATTTCAAGATTCTTCTTTGGATGAATATTACGAATATCAAAAATTATATCTTGATGAATTAGAACATATACGATTTTCTTGCACTAATAAAAATAAAGCTGGAAGATTATTATTATTAGATAATGTTATTGAAAAATATTCTGAAAAAAAATTAAAAAACTTATTAATTCAAAGAGAATATTGTTATAAACAAAAATGATATTTACACAATTTGGAAAATTTAGTTAGAAATAACGAAGAAACTATTATTAATTTACAAAAAGAACTAAAAAAATGAGAAGAAAAAGCAAGAAAATATGAAGAAGAAAAAATTAATTTTGATGAAATGAAAATTCAATTAGAAGAACTTCAAAAAAAAACTAAAAATCATGAAATTGAAAACAAAGAATTGAAAACTAAAAATGAAAATCTCAAAATTGAAAATGAAGAATTAAAATCCAAATTTAATAAAACGGATGAAGAAACAGATGAAGAAATGGATGAAGAAATGAGTGAAGATATTAAAAAAGTCGAAGAAATAATTGATGATAATGATGATATGTGCGATTACAAAACTGATATTAAATTTGAAAGTTCTGATTATAAATTTGAAAATATTAATGATAATAATTTGTACATTGATTTAACAAATAATAATTTAGTTTTTTCAAATGAAAATAATATTTTTGATGATTCTTTATTGTATAATAATACTGATCTGTTATTTTTAATGCAACAACAGAATCGAGAATTTTTTTTTTAATTTTAAATATTTTTATTAATTCAACATCTATTTATATATAATATTTTTTTTGATTTTTTATATTTATTATTATTATTATGAATAAACGACATACAGATAATAATGAAAATATTAATATTAAAAAAAAATATTTCTAATAATAAAAAAGTATTATTGGATGAGCAAGAAAAGATAATTAACCTCGCTTTGAATGGTAAATCAATTTTTTATACAGGATCAGCAGGAATAGGTAAAAGTTTTTTGCTAAAATATATTATTGAGAAATTAAAACTGAAACATAAAAATAACGAAGTTGTAGTAACTGCTACTACAGGCTAAGCTACATTGATTATTGGAGAAATAACAATACACAAATTTTCTCAAATTGGTATAATGGAACAAACAAAAGAAAAGATCGTCTTAAAAATTAAAAATTCGAATTTTTTATCAAATCGTATCATGAAAACAAAAGTGTTAATCATTGATGAAATTTCTATGTTAAGCTATAATGCGTTTGATCTTATTAATGAAGTATTACAAGAAATACATGGAAATGATAAACCGTTTGGAGATATACAGATTATTGTAACAGGTGATTTTTTTCAATTACCTCCTATTCCAAATAAGAAAAAAGATGATATAAGAAAACCATATGAATTATATGCTTTTTTAAGTAAAGTTTAGAATTCGACTTTTCAAAATCATATACTTTTAAAGCATGTTTTCAGACAATTAGATCTTTTTGTAATAAATGGGTTAAATAAATTAAGGTTAGGTGTTATAGATGAGAAATTTATGAAATATATTAATTCACTAGAACGGAATCTTATTTGTAATAAAATTATTGATTATTTTGTTGAAGAAAACAATACATTAAAATGTCTTAATTGTGAAAATATTATGTATAGATGGGATACAGGAGATTTAAAAAGACATATTAAAAAATTTCATATGGATATTTGGAACATTATTGAAGAGTATGACAAATATAAACCAATGGTACTTTTTTCTGATAAAAAAAAAGTAAAATTACACAACATGAATAAATTAAATTCTTTACCTGGATTGAGAATTTTAGAATTTAAATCGGAAGATTGGTCCATAGCACTGGTACCAAATTCTCAAATTAGTGATGATTTATCTTCACATGAGCAATTGATAAAATATTTAGAAAAAAAGAATTTAGCTAATGAAAATCTTTGTTTAAAAGTTGGCACAAAAATAATATCAATTTATAATGAAAAAGATAATAAAAATATTGTAAATAGTATATTTGGTACTATTGTCAGATTTAGATCAAAAATCAATAATCAAATTTATGGATGATTTAGAAAAGAAATTCCAAGTTTAGTAAAAGAAGATAACTTAAATCCTGTAATAAAATTTGAAAATATTGATCAAGAGATAACAATAACACATAAAACATTTTTTATTAATAATAACGAAAGAAAAAGAATAGCATCACATAAACAATATTCTATAATATTAGCATCAGCTATTACTATTCACAAATCTCGAGGTTTGACCTTATCATATTTAATAATTGATTTTAATAATATTTTTCAAAGTGAACAAATATATGTAGCATTATCATGAGCAAGTAATTTTAAAAAAGTTCAAGTAAAAAACTTTAGTATTAAAAAATTAAAAGCTAATAATATAGTGATAAATTTTTACAAAGAAAAATTTGAAATTAATTTATAAATAGTTTTTATTTATTTTTAATATCTTTTTAATATTTAATATAATAAATTAATAATAATTATTTATATAAATAAAATTTATCAATAAATTTTTTTAATAATGTCAAAATGTATTTTTACGATTTAAAATTGAAACTAAAATAATTGAATATGATCCCGAGACAAGATTTTCTAAGTTTTATTATAATTTACAAATAATTAAAGTTGAAAATAATATAAAAAATTATGTTTCATTTTATGATGAAAATTTAAAAGTTATTAATATAAGAACACAAAAACAAAATGATAGTTTTGTAATTAGTTTAATTGAAAAAGAAAATATTTCCTTTCATCTTCTTGATAAGGAAGAAAAGTATAAAGTTTATTATAATGATATATTTATTATTGATATTATTAATAGAAAATTAGTACAAAATAAATCAAACAATATTTTTCATTAATAGAAGAATAATTAATTTTTCTTTTTGTACTTGATTAATAAAATTATTTTCATAAAGATATAAAATATATTCATTAATCTTTTGTAAACGTATTTTTTTGCTTAAATTGATTAATAAAAAAAATTCTTTAAAATCATAAAAATTTTTGTTAAAAAAGTTATACATTTCTTTTTCAGATAAATTTAAATTATTTGTAAAGTTAAATAGAATGTTTGGATTATGTAATACTCCCCATTTTTCATATTTGTAGTAGGGACCTCAGTTTCATGCGATGTGCATAATTGGCCAATTTTTGGCATAGCATATGCGAAGCATAATTTGACAAAAATCGCATAATTATAATTGGCGCTATTAATTGGTCGAATTTTAAATCATTTGATTGTTGTTTTTTTTATCGAATATTAAATTCTTTTAAAAAGATATACGGATACGTTAGTGCAATGGATGTATAATTTTAAACTAGCAACTTGTAGCATCAGCTAGTGGTTTTCCCACCCTTGTCCCTAGCAAT